AACATCATTATTAAATTACCTTCTTTAAAAGCTAATAATAATAATAATAAGAGCAGGGTCATTTGGCTGTGATTAGAGCGGGGTCGTTGCCTCTTGCTCCGGTTGCTCCCAGGCTTTGCCTCTCCCAATAGTAAATTTTATTGCAATGGGATTCATTTTCATGTGGATTCCTTCCCTCCCTGCCAGAAAGGAGGAAAGGGAGGGGGAAAAAAAACTGTAAAGAGGTGCTTTGCAGATCGATATTGATGTGATTTGGGTGTCAGGGAGTTTCACTAGGGGGTTTTACCTGCAGCACCGAGGGCATCAGATGGTTATTGTGGCCATCAAATAACACCTAATGAGGTCCTGACTGCGGGTGCGTTTTGTTGCTCTTCCCGTTTTTTCCTGGTTTAGAGAGAGAATCTCCCCGCCTGTGTAAACGCTTCCCAGGTTGGAATTTCAACTCGCATCCAACAGAACAGACTTTAAGGCCCTTTTCAACACGTTGCACTGATAAAAACCCCACTTCTAGTCCTTGGCTCGCTCGTTGTGATTTACTCTGGGGTTTGTGTTGGGGTCTGGCTCTACCAGTGCTGCTTCAAGGGGATCTTCCACTCCTTGGGCGTGTTTTCCTTTGGCAGGGATTTAAAACTCTATCTGGCGTGCTCCTGCCGTAAGGGGCACTACCTCCTGAGGCCCTCAAAACAGAAACACATGTTTGGGAGCAGCTCTGGCCTACGAATTAGAGGGGAAAAGCTATCGATTTCCCATTAAATGTCGAGGGAAAATGTTGCTTTCAGGCAAAATTTGTCGACGGAAACAGCCCCCCCCCCCCCCCCCCCCAAGCAGCTGAGCACATGTGTGTGCAATCACATGTGATGGGCACGCGTGTATTGCATGGCACAGATGTAGGGCATGGAGCTGTGCGGAGACAAGGATGCGGCCACAGACACGCAGGGACACGCTCGCACACGCAAAACCACGCCTGGGAGCAGGAGCCACGCGTCCCATGTGGGATCCAGGACAAGGAAGGGTGCCACGATCACGGGTGGGAGCAATTGGAGGAGCGCATGTTGCAAACCACATGCTCCAGATGTGCACAGCCACAGCTGGCCGTGGACCAGCAGCACACGCTGCTGCCTCCACAGCACACAAGCACATGCATGCGCACACCCACATTCAAACACACGTGTTCTGGGTGCACAAACACACACCCCCTTAAAGCAAGCGCTCCCCAAGAGCACCCACACCTTGCACACACATGGGTGCACACCAGCCCCACCGCACCCCACCCAAAAAAGAGCCGAATATCAGCCAGTTCTGTAAAAAAAAAAAAACAACAAAAAAAAGGTATTTATTTCTCAGCCTAGATTCCATATTGCACGCAGGAATTAACACTTTCATCGTCATATACTTACAACAACTTCAAATAAATAAAGGTACAGTAAATCTAAGCAGAAATCCCAATCCATGGCTGGAAAAGGCTCTTTTCCTCCCCTGGCTGGTTGTATTGAAACGCGTGGTTTAGGGCAACGGCACCATCGGCCGCTGGATGGGCCCAGCCCGGGGAAATACCCCCCCTCCCCACCCACAGCACCCCTCAAAAAGGGATGATCCTGGGGGGCAGAAGCATCCCTGGAGCCAGGGGGGGTCCATCAGAGAAGCACCCACGAAGGGAGGGACACTTTTAAACCGAGAAAGGGGGGGAATATTGAATCCAGCAACGCAAAGAGAGAGCAAAGATCCCTGACACCCCCCCCCCCCCAGCCCGAAAAGAAACCCTCACAAACCGGGATTACAAAGCACCACAACCGTATCCAAGCTGAGACATTCTCTTTTCCTGAGTCTAAAGCTGCGTTTTTAAAAGCAGCACCCTTTCATAAAAGTTTTATTTTATTTAATGTATTTTTTTTTTACAAGATACTTTCGGTTTTCTCCTCCCGACACAAACGTTTTTATGGGGGAAAAAAAAAAAAAGTAAAATCAAATAAAATCACAAAAATCGATATTTTTTTCCACTTCTTTTGCACCCGGTTGGAGATAAAACAACGCAGTAACCTCCTTAGAAAGGTGCCTTTATACCCTTTACGCTGTTCTGGCCGTGCGAGTTGATCTTTTAGCTCAAACCAGAACTAGTTTTGTATCGCCCGAACCTCGAGCTCACTGCGTCCCGCGGAGGAATTGCTTCTTCCACCCGTCTAGCGCTTGGTTTGTTCAGTTTTGATGCCAAAATGGGCAATTTCTGACAATAATTTCGGGGTTCCTTTCTTTTTCATTTTAATTGGGATTCTATCGATTTTCAATGCAAGGCCACCCCCACCCTCCAGTTTCCTACTAGAGGATCGCTAGGAAGCTGGCTTTTTCTTTATTGAAACCTCTTACTTCCCTTTAAAACAAGTTTAAAACCAACCAGGGGGATTATAATTATGGTTAATATTAATAATTATTACTATTTGCTGGGAATGGGATGGTTCTGCTGCTTGAGGAGCCATTCAAAGGTGGGGGGGGTGGCAAGTTTTGAGGTATTTTATATTGTTATTCACAGCCCTGCTACAGCCCCCTCCCTTCCCTCCCGCATTATATACAGATCCCTGCACCTACCCCCAGCTCGGCACATCAATACCTACGGCTTGATTCACGTTCCCCCCCCCTATATCGTGTATGAATTAATCGCCGTGGTTTCCGCACACCCACACGGCCATAGGCAAATATACACTGAGATAAATAGCCAGGGATCCGCACATGCGGAGGGACCCCCCCCCCCCATCCATGCGCGCTTCCCGAGGTGTTTATATCCCTTAACAAAAAGAATTCCTGAGTTATTTGGCTGTTGCAGATGGAGCGGCGGAGTCTGGGGGTTGCTGCTTTTATACGTATATAAATATACATACGTTTATATGTATGTATATATGCATCAGCATTCATTCCCTGCACGGATCTCGGGGTTTCCTGCCTGCTTTCCGCGGGCGCGGAGCGCGGCCGCCGCTTTGTGCGCTCACGGCTCCCTCCCGCAATTGCGTTTAAATTCCATTTTATTTCATTTTCCATTTCTTTTTTTTTTTCTTAGAAAATACATTTTTAACCCGATCCGGATTTAGGGCAGTCACGGGCCGGGAGCGAGCGATCGTGCTCGGGGGTTAACACGGCAACCGGGAGCGTTATCACGCCCCCCCATCTCCATATCCCCTTCCTAAGTTGGGGGGTGCGGAGACACACGGGGTAAGACCCCCCCCCTCCCCGATTTGCCTTATTCGTGGGTGCGAACTCCCCAGAATCGGCTTTTCTCCACATCCCCCCCCCCAGGATTGGGGGTTTTGGGGTGATTTTTTTGGTGAGCATCCTCGGCAATAAAACCTGAATATCTGGGGGGAGCCGAACCCCCTTTTCTGCATGGGAGGAGGGGGGGTAGGGGGGTGGAGATAAACCAAAACCTGCAGTTAACCAAAAAAAAAAAGCCTCTAAAAACCCAAGTCAAACAAACATCGCTTTCAACAGCAATTCCCGTCTCCAAGAAAAACAGCGATTCACAGAGACAAAATACGCTTTGACCTCAAAAAATATCTTTTTCCTCACACACCCCCTTTTTTTTTTTTACCCACTGATAGAATTAAACCAAAAAACAACCAAATCAAGCCGGGCCAGGCCCGATCGGGATCTTTCCTATTGAATCCTGCCATGATTCTCCTTGGCCTCCCCTTTCCCTTCCAGCAAAAGACATTGAGAAAAGGGAATTTTATCATTATTATTATTATTATTATTATTGTTAATTATAGTTTTCGGGGAGCCAATTTTTGGAGGGAAACAATAGAAATTCCCGAGCGGGCGTTAAGCGATTTTCGGCCGTGGGCTGCGAATATTTCCTGTTGCAAAGAACGGAGGGAAAAATAACCCACATCTCCCTCAATAAAATATAAAAGAAGGGAAAAAAGGGAACACACACCCCCACACACCAGCTTTGATTTCCCAAACCAGAGCGGACTTCAGAGAGCCCGTAGGGCTTTGATGCCAAAGCGGGGTGGAAATCACATCAGGAATAGTCAAAAGGGCCTGTTACAAAGCCACTGGTTCGCAAGGAAAGTTAAACTGGGATATGGTTTCCTCCGCCGAGGAGAGGCATTCCCCCCGCATTCCTCCCCGCATTCCGCTCCGGAGCTCGGCCGGGATCAAATTGTCCATCTGTCCCTTCCTGCCAATGCTCCGGATCCGATTTCTTGGGGGGGGGGGGGGGAGGGAGGTTTTCCAAACGCTGCCCTCGGGCTACCGGGGCTGAAACCCTGTAAAACCTCCCTTTTCCTGCTCAGTTTTCATCCTTAATTTTCCTTTCTTTTCTCTAACATAGGCGCAGCAGTTTCAAATCACTTCCTCCCCAAGAATCCTGCTTTAACAAACTGAATTTCCTGCTCTATTCCTTTTTTTTTTCCTCCCTTCCCGTCTCTCAAACACACAGAAATCATCATCGCCCCGCTGTAACGCCGTGATTTGGAATCGCTGCTCCCGATTTCCCGGGACTATCCCAAGCGGACCCCGGTGCCTGTGCTCGGGGGCACCGTTATTGCCCTCAGTTTGTCATTATTGATAGTTTAATCCGCTGCATTTTTTTTCAGGAAAAGGGAGAAATTGGATCTTTTCTCTCCCGGGTTTAACCGGGCGGCCCCTTCCTCCGCTCTCAGCTCCGCGGTTCATCCCAAATCCCTTCGCCGGGAATACCCCCCCCCTCACCCCAGAGAGGATGGAGAAGGGAGTTGCGGGGGGGGGGGGGGGGTGTATCGCCACCCCGGGGGTTTTAGCTTCATCCTTAAAGGAAACCAACACCGGACCCCGGCACTTACACGGCCACAAAAATATCTCATCTCCCACACAACCAGAGCGGGGCCCCCCGAAACGCTCTCGCACCCTGCGGCCCCTTCCCCCGGTTCCTAAGGCAGCCCCCCCAGGCCGGGACCCCGCTCCTGGGGCTCGGTGGGACGAAGGGGCCGCTCGCAAACACCCCCCAGCCCCGGACCCTGTCCCCGGGTCCCCCCCCCCCCCCCACACCGCTTTCATCTCTTGCCCGTTAACCTTTCCTCCGGGCCGGGCGCTGTCCTTAGAGATCCTCCAAGCTACAGCCCCGGAACTTGAGGCTGGGGGGCACGGGAATGGCGCTGCCCCCCAAGTGCCAGCTCCACAGCGGGTGAGTTTTGGAGAGAGCCCAAGAGTTTTTGCCCCCCAGGGAAGAGGCAGGACACAAGTCCCCATCTTCCCCCACGACCAAGGAGGGAATACAAGGGAAGTTGCCCATGAGGCTGAAGGAATTCCGAGGCGGGGCCGGCCCGGCGTTGCCGAGGCGTTTGCAAGGAGCGTTTCCCTTCCTGGAGTTCCTCCGCGGAGCCTTCCGTGCCCCCCCCTTGGCGGAGCCCCGTTGCCTTTCCCCGCCGGTGCCGCGGGCAGGGCGGCTGCGTTTGCCGCTCCCCTCCGCTCCGCTGCCCCTCGCAGCCCGGTTCCCCGGGGCGCTGGGGCTCCCGGGCCGTTTGCAGCCGGTGGGGGGGAGCTCTGCAGCTCTGCCGGGCTCCGGCCTCCCGCCCTGCCGCAAACTTTTCCCGTCCAGGTTGAAGCCTTTGGCGTAACACCACAGCTTGGACTGCCGGATCAGCCGGTCGAAGTGCTCCCGACGGGGCTCCCCCCCATCCCCAGGGGGCACCGGGCCGGGCCCCCCCGCCAGCTCCGGTACGGAGGCCGGGGCCGGCTCCGGGGCAGGCTCTTGCCCGGGTAAAGCTCCGCTTGGCCGCTCCGCCTGCTCACCGGGGCCTAACGAGGCTCCATTGTTCGAGGCATCTTTGTGCAAATCCTCCCCTTTGGCGCAGGGCTCCGCATCCCCAAAGCCTCCCTCCTTTTGTTGCGGATCCCCCCCAGGGGTGCTGCTCGGGGAGGGAGGGGGGGAGGAGGAGGAGGAGATGGAAGAGAAGGAGGAGGAGGAAGGGGAGGCCTCCCGCTTTGCGTACAGCTCCGGCTGGGCCCCCGAGCCCAGGGCTGGAGCCGGGCTTAAACTTTCCAAAGTTGATGCTCGCAAAGTCCTGGCCCAGAGCTGCTGCGAGAGGAAGAGGAGGCTGGGGTCAGGCCGCAGAGCTTTGCCCGCTCCGGGGAGAGGGGGCTCCACGGGGCGCTCCTCACCCAGGGGCTCCCGGGGGGGCTGCGGTGGGAAGCGCGGCAGAGCCGCCTGCCTGTACCGGGTGCTCTGCACCGAGTCCCCGCTGCACAGCGAGCTGCTCTCCGACTCCGAGGAGCTGCCTTCCTCGCTGCTGCACGAGCTGTCCCCTTCCTCCTCCTCTTCTTCCTCCTCCTCCTCTTCCGACGAGTCGCTGGAGGTGGCGGGGCTGGACCCGCCGAAGTCCAGGCTGGAATCTGAGTCGCTGGAGTAACCGGCGGAGGTTCCCTGCCGCTTGGAACCGGGGAAAGCGGCGGAACGGCCTTTCCCGGGGGCTGCGGGACCCCCACCAGCCGGGAAGAGCCGCTCTGCGCAGCAGGGCCCCCGTTTGCGCGGGGCGGGGGGCGCAGGAGGGGGCGCAGAGGTAGGGGGAAGCCGAGCCAGGGCTCGGGGGCAGCTGGGCAGGACCCCGGCAAAGAGCCCCCCGGCCCGGCCCGCCAGCCCGCAGCTCCGCCGGCCCCGGGGGGGCTCCTCGCCGGCGGGGAGGGTCCGGTGGAAGGGCTGCGGCAGCAGCGGGGCCGGGGCCGAAAGGGCGCAGCAGCCCCCGGCTCTGCAGGGCGGCAGCAGCGGGGGCCGGGGGCAGGGGAAGAGCCCCCCCGGGGCCGGCAGCAGCAGCTGCTCCCTCCTCTTGCTCTTCCTTTTCCTCTTCCTCCTCCGCGGGCCGAGGCTCTTGCAGGAGGTGCAGAGAGCCTCCAGGTCCGCCTTGGAGATGAGCGAGCATTTCACGGCGCGGGTGGGCACGGAGTTGATGGCTTTGAGGGTCCGGAGCTCCTTGAGATCGCAGCGGCGGCTCTTGATCTTTAAGGTTTCCATCTTCTTGCTGATGGTGGTCCTGGGGATATCCTTAAACAGGTCGCTGAGGACCTGGGCCAAAGCAAACATCTGGGTGCCATTGATCTGTAAGTATCCCAAGTTTATCCCTTCGATTTCTTGATAGCCGGCATGAAAATCCCCCGGCCTGGCTTCCCCATTGTAATCCATGGTGGCTGGAACAATTCCGAAGGTCCCTTCGCAGGTCAGGAACATTTTGCAAGGAGCATTTACTTTGTCTCTTTCAAAGGGGGCATTGAAAATAAGGACATATTTGTTTCCACTCCCTGATCACACACATCCCTACCCCTCGCAGAGGTGGGGGGCGAGGGGGGTGGTGGGAATAAAAGCCAAAGCAGTCGATCTCCCTTTCAAACGCTCCAGTCAATGGGTTGCAACATCTTCCGAACACCCAATTCCTCCGCCTGCACCGGGGCTCGACTCCTCGTCTTCCCCCTCCCCAGCCAAAAACAAAAAAAGGAAGAAAAAGAAAGAAAGAAGTCAAACATTTTGTGTGTGTCCCCATATCCCTCCCGGCCGGCTCCCACCCGCGGCCGCGCACCCCACCTTCCCTTGCAGAAATAATTGGGGAAGGGGGGGGGGAAAGAATCAACAAGCGCAGCCCCCCCTGCGCTGTGTAACCCCCCTGAGGTGCTTAAGCAAACAAAGCTCCCGATGGGGGGGGGGGGGGGGGAAGTGGAATATGGAGGCGGGGGGAGCCCCGGGGCTCTGCGCGGTTCCCACCTTCCCCGCGCTCCGCACTCGCGGCCCCGCCGCCGGTACCGTATATTCTAAGGGAACACCCCGCCGGGCCGGCCCCGCCACCCGCCACCCGATTGGGCGTTCCGGGCCCGTGATGTCATAAACCCCAACATTTCACACGCACACACACACACACACACACACACACCCCCGCGCAAAACCTGCGCAAACCCCGCGCAGCCCCGCTCCCGGCCGTGCCCGCCGATCCCGACCCCGCGCACACAATGGAAGCCACCTCCTTGGCTGCTTCCCCCCCCCCACCTTTTAAAATATGTATATATTAAAATTTACTCTTTCCGCTGTATTTCGAGGTGACGGCTGCGCGGGCGCCTCCGCTTTGTTTCCGCGGTTTAGCTGGGGTGGTTTTTTTTTTTCCACGTAGGGTTTTACGAGCCGTTGCTGCGCCTTCCCAAATCTGCCCCGATTCCTCTGGGATGGGTGTGTGTACGTATAGATTTAATAAAGCGTAAAAGATCCGGCTCTAAGCGAGTTGTTCGCAACGATTGACTCCGCAACAATTCATCCTTCAACCTTCAATGCTTATTAATTGCCCATTACTGTATTTATTAGCTGGCATGAGCGGGGTGTCCACAACAACATCGGTAGCATGTGCGAATAAAAGCAACGCGAAGATATTTATATTCCTTTTTACTCACACACGTTCTTTATTCACTCCGTATCTTTTTTTCTTCCAAACTATTCCCTTTAAAAAAAAAAAAAAAGAAAATTAAGGAAAATTATTATTATTAATAACAATAAAAATCCTTTTGCATGGATTTGCGCTGCTTAACTTTATTTCAAACTTTTAAGCCCCAAGATTTCGATTCCTTCGGTGGCTGCTGCCTCGCTCCCGCCCTTCCAAACCAGCCGCTGTTTTCCCAAAAGCAGAGCTGCGGATTCCCTTCTCCAAAGTTGGGGGGGGGGGGGGGGGGGGGGGGGGGAAGGGGGAAAAAGCCACCCCCCCCCCCTTCCCTTTCCCCTCCTTTCGCCCTCACCCGGCCCGGAGCTCCATTGTCCCGGCCCCTCGATTTCTTTCTAAACCTGGAGCTCCTTGAGCGCAGGGAGCGGAGCGGCGGAGGCCGGGCCGAGGGGTTTCAGTCGCTGCTCAGGGGGCTAATTTTGGGGAAACAGTTACCTCGGAAACCTTTCGGGGGGGAGGGAAGGGAAGGGGAAGCTCCGCCGTGCACGCTGCGCCCTTCCTCGCAAAGCCTCCTCTGCCTCCCCCATGAGAAGTCGCTTCCAGCCCTCCTCCGCCTTCTCTTTCTTGCGGTTCGGATGGCAAAAATCGGGGTAATTTGATAATAATAATTTGTTAAACTCGAGGTACAAATCAACCGCAAACGATCCCGATTTAGAAACAATCCCGGAGGAGGAGGAGGAGGAGGAGGAAGCGCATTCCTGAGTATGCCTGTAAAAAAAAAAATTCAAACTCGCTCCACCATCGCCTTTAATTCAGAGCCGAGATCACCTGATTTGCTTTTACCTTGGATGGGAGGAGAACCCCCGACGCCAACGTGGGTGCTGCTTGGGGTGGGGGGGGGAATCACTGCCAGGGCTCCCTCCTCCCCAACACCCATGGGTGCACCTCCCCTCAAATGCTTGGCCTTGCTGCTGAAAGAGAATCCCCCTTTTTATTTCCCTGCGTTAAAACCCACCACATTTCACCCCCGTTTTCCACAAGCGAGAGTTTCCTGTGAGTAAAGGTCTCCCGGCCAACACAAACACCAAATTCCTCTTTGTTTGGGCAGAGGGGAGGGGGAAAAACTTCGCTCTGGACGGAAAGTGGCCGGTTAGGGGATACTGCAGCTCCTGCGAGGGACCACAGAAAGTCCTGCCTGGAGCTTCCCTTCGCAAATATAGGGAAGATCCTGGGTATTTTTCTTTCCACATAAAGCCAGAGCCATTTTACCTATAGGCTGAGCTTTGCTCCGTGCCAGACTGGAGGAGGGGAGCAAGGGGCCGGACCTGGCCTGGAATATCCCCAGCCGATGGGGCTGATGCAGTTCAGGGATTGGGAAAGGGGCAGCTGGTGGAGAAATGCAAACCCCAGCAGCACAAGAAACTCTTCTGATCACTTGTAGGGTTTTGGGAGGGGGGGAACTGGAGCCCCTCAAGTGCCGACTGGGAAACAGGGCTTGGAGGCCACATGCAGGCGAGTGTATGGATACGTCATTTCCCAGGAAAGTGCCAGCAATAGGAGCATAAATCGGCAATATTTTGGCTATGGATGAAGTTCAGCGGAGGGGGTGTGTGCCTTGATGTCTCTATATGGCCCCAGACAGCCTGACATGGGCCTAGAGATACTTTATGAACCCGTGTATGTATATATATACCCATATATCTATATATATATATATATATGCACCCATATATATACATAGGGAGGGTACTTGCAGCCAGGGTGGTGGTTCAGAAGCAAATGTATGTTGGCCACACCAGCAGCCTGCTGTGTTTCTGCTGTCCCTGTTATGTCCCCTGTTGCCCACACCACAGACCCCCCCTTTGCATGGGGCTGGGGACAATGTCCCTTCTCCAGCCACTCCATGCATGTATGGATAAATGAGCTGCTCCGTCTGCGGTGCACAGGGGCTTTTATACCTCTCATGTCTGTCATTAGGGTGGCTGCAGGCCTGGTGTGGCAATGGCCACGGAACAGGCTGCTCCATGGGTCCCACATGTGGGCTGGGGGCTGTGTTGGGGGAGAATGGGACTGCTCTGAGCCTCGGTGGTGCTGTTCTGGGAATGGGCACAGCCAGGAGAGCCGGCAGCATCCGGATCTGTGCATCTGTTCATCATCTGTGCATCTATACATCTATGTGCCTGTGTATCTGTAGATCTATACACCTGTGTATCTGTACATCTGTAAATCTGTGTATCTGTGATTTGAGTATCTGTACACTTGTATATCCATGTACCTGTTTATCTATTTGTGTATCTGCATATCTATATATACGCATCTGTGTGTCTGTATGTCTGTATATCTCTATATCTGTGTATTTTTATAACTGTGTATCTGTGTATTTTAATATTTATATATCTATGTATTTGTGTATCTGTGTGTTTGTCTATTTGTGTATTTTTATATCTGTGAATCTCTGTATCTCTGTATCTGCATATCTGTACATTTGCATAACTGAGTATCTGTGTATTTGTATACCTATGTATCTGTGTATTTGTATATCTGTGGTTCTATCCATCATCCATCTATCTATCTATCTATCTATCTATCTATCTATCTATCTATCTATCCATCATCTATCTATCTATCTATCTATCTATCTATCTATCTATCTATCTATTACCTATCTATGTATCTGTGCATGTGTGTATCTATTTGCCCCTCAGCCCAGCTACTCCTTCCAAGGGCACAGAGGGGATTCCAACCCCCCACAAGTGAGAGGACAAGAACCACGGGGGGAATCCCCATGGGAATCTTCACCCATGAGGCACCCCCAGGAGATTCCTCCCTCATACCTGTCCGGGCTGGCTGTTTCTGCAGGAAGCAATAGAAGTCAGCAGGGTGGAGCTTCCCATGGGGTTTCCACGTTGGTTTCTGGGTGCCTTGTTCTGCTTGACGTGCTGCAAGGACTTCAGTGCTTGGGGAGGGAAAAACCACCCCCAGAACCCCCCATAGGTTTGGGCTGAGCTATTTGGAGGCAGCTTTTGGGGCCAGGGTCCCCTGTGTGGGCTGTGCTGGGTGTACACGGAGGGGGGTTGCTCTGACAGCCCAAATCCCAGGGGCAGCTCTCGAGGTCCAACATCCCTGGCAGGGAGCAAGTGAGGGGGATCCTGTTGGAAAAGCAGGTTCCAGCAGGAAAAGAGGGGAGATGCTGCTGGTGAATGCTGGGGTGAGGGCAGAGAGTGGGCAGGGAATGGGCAGGCAGGGATTCGCAGCAGCGCTTTGGGAGGATACGTCAGATTTCCCATGAACAAAAGCGATCAGAAGTGAGTATTGCCCAAAATCCCCTAAAATGAGGTGGCCAAAATGATGCCGAGACCCTTCCATGCACAGATCCCTAAAGCAAGGAGCAGAGTAGACCCCATTCAGGAAACGCTCCCAAGCAGCAATTCCCACCTAGAAACCTTTATGGAGAGGCTGCAATTCCCCACTTTCCTCCTGTTACAGAGCCAGGATGGGTCCAGTGCTCCCACTGGGATGGAAAAGCCAGAGCTGAGGGGTGTTTTCAAGGGAAAACATAGAAATCCTGATTTCTTTCCCTTTAGTTTCAAGCACTTGATAACAGACCTGCAGGCAGCCCAGCACCAGGCACCAGTTACAACCCCGAATACTTGGCTCCGAGGCCGTTCCTCCTGACAGGCACTTAAACTGTCCAGCATGAAAATATTCCTACAAATCACTCGGTGCACTGGATTTTTACACGTCCCAGGGACATTTTCCAGGCTGCTGAAAGGAGCTGGAGAAGCAGATCCAAACCCCACCACCCCAGCCTGCAGGATGGAGCCGGGGGGGGGGGAAATAAGCCCTCCTTCATCTTGGGCTGGTGGGTGCCTTTGTGATGCTCGCCCTGCTTCGGGACCCACCTTCCTGCTGCCAGCAGCCCGGGACTGCTAAAATGCTCTCAGAGGCACTCAAAGGCAGAGAAAGTACCTTTCATTTACACAGGATGGGTTATATTCAGGTTTTCTTCCTTGTTTTTCAAGGTATCTTTCTTATTTGTCAAGATTTTGCTCTTATTCAATATTCCTCTCTTATTTGTCCATATTTCCCTCTAATTCCTCAAGACGTTGCCCTTATTTTTCAAGATTTCTCTCATATTCCACGATTTCTTCCTTATTTTTCAAGATTTTTGTCATTTCCTAAGATTTCCTTCTAATTTTCATGATTTCTCTCTTATCTTTCAGAATTCAGCTCATTTTCAAAGATTTCTTCCTTATTTCTTGCTTTTTCTCTCTTATTTTTCAAGCTCTCTCTCATTTTTCAGGTTTTATTTTTTATTCCTCAAGTTTTCGCTCTTATTTTTTCAATATTTCTTCTTTATTTTTCACAGTGTCTCTTACATTTTTCAGGGTTTCTTATTTTTAAAGATTTCTTTCTTATTTGCCAGCATTTCTCTCTTGTATTTCAAGCTTTCTTTCCTCTTTTCCAGAGTTTCTTATTCTTCAACATTTCTCCCTTATTTTTCCAAGTTCCTCTCTTATTTTCCCAATATTTCTTATTTCCCAATATTTGCCAAGATTTCTCTCTTATTTCTCAAGATTCCGCTTTCATTTTCCATGGTTTCCTCCTCGCTTCTCCATCCCCACTTTGTGCATAACACTCGGTGCAACCCCTGAAAAACCCCCTCTCTGCTCTCAATCTAAACTCCAAGCACATTGAATCGCCAATAAACAGGATTTAAATAAATCCCACTGCTCCTAAATGAATATTTGGATCTATGGACTCATTAATTCTCCTACTGAGAGGAGGAAAACCAGGGGCTGAGGACACAGCAGCGAGCGGAGCTCTGCAGGGCCGGGTTGGCATCGTTTGCAGTGGGATGCACTGATATTAGTAGATATTTGATTCTTTTCAGATTCCTTTTTCTTTAGGTGCTCCCCCCCCACACCACCACCCCCGGTGCAAACAAAAGCAGCATTTAGTGACAATTTATAAAGAGGCAAATCCCCCTCCTCTCCCTTTTGTTTCAAAATACAAAGACAGAAAAGTGGGGTTAGTTTGAAAATAGGCTCAGGCAGGGGCCAGCCCCGCTGCCGGTCCCTTCTCCCACCGAAACAACGCAGGTTTGGGAGGAAAATAACACAAAAAAAAGGGAATAAACCCCATTGAAACGTGTGCGATCTGATGTAAAATGTGGGGTTAAAACCCCAGAGAGGCCTCAGAAGCTTGCACCTGACCAAATGGCGTTGCTTTAGACCACGTATAAAACACTTTGAGCCTTGCTTGGGATAAAACTGAGAGGTTTGGAAAAAAATGGGGATAAACCTGAGTGATTTAAGGCAAAGGCAAGGCAGGTTCTAGGAGGAGATCCTGAAAGGATGGAGAAACGAGCAGTTGTTTGCTTCAGAGCTTCTTTCCCTGTTGTGGGCGGAGGTTCCCAGCTTAGGGAATTTCCTTCCACCGCCTTCAGCATCCCAAGGTCTCCGCGTTCAACTTTCCGCTTTATTTCTATCTTTCTTCCTAAAGAGCCTTTCACCATCCTCTGACAAAGAAACCACATTCTTCCCGGGAGCAGCTGAAGGAAATTATACAGTAATAAACACTGCCGACGGGGAGGAAAAATAAAGGTTGGTTTGTTTTCCTAAGCAAACGCAGCGAAATACTTCCAAGAGGGATTCTCCTCCTGGAGGAATCCCTGCGGAAAGGCTTGGGGGAGCCTCCTGCTAACGCCAGTGACCTGGAGGGATGCGACGGGAGGCTGGGAAGGGAGAACCTCCATTTCCTGATGTCTCCAACGAGCCTGGTTTATCCCTGCTTATTTAAAGGCTGATTTTTTTTTCCCCCGGCCACTGAGAGAAGTGTTTGTCTTTAAAACAACCCCCGGGAAAAAACACAAGGCACTTGGGAGAAGGAGGAAAAATGAGGTTGGAGATGGGAGATTTCATGCCTCAACCTTAAAGCCAGCTGAGAATTTGCATTATTCTTCTGTCGCCTTTTGATGTTTCCCATATTAACGTCGGGATTCGGTTGTTTTCCCCTCTTCTTGCTTCAGCCAGGCTCGTCCTCCCTTTAAACCACGGCTGATGAAACACGGCGCAGATTTGTTAGTGATAAACCCGAAACATCTCCTCTTTCACAAGTCTGATCTGAAGAAATCTTCATCGGGGGCTTGGTTTCTTTTCCCCTTTTAGCCCAGCTGAACAGTCTCTGCTTAGGTCCAAGCCATTGATGCACTGAAGCAGGATTCTGCTCCCTAGTTCAGCTTAGAACTAAAAGAATGCTGGAAAACATTTCTGTGGCTAAGATAAGCTCAAATCAAAACCCTTCCTTGCCATTCACTGAGTGCTGGTATCAGAAATGAAAGGCAACGCAAGAAAGCCACAATCTTGCAGGCTTTGTAAGACAGAGAATGGGCTCGATATCTCCTTTTCCCTCGAGGAGGAGTTTATGCTCTTTGGGCAACATTTACCAATTCTTATTTAAATCGCACTCGCACCTACAAACTCTTATTCCTTCACTTGAAAGTGTGCGATTTAAAGCAGTTCGGGTTTAAAACAACAGATAAAACACCCTCAGAGTTTTATTTCAACTGGCTAAAGTTTCATGTTGGCAAACTTTAAAAGGCAAAAAAAAACAAAAAAAAACACAACCTTTTTGGGGGTGTTTTTTGTTATTTTTAAATTACTTTTATTATTTTTTTTTTACCTTTTACAAAGTATTTCTCCTGCCTGTTATTGATTGACAAGTTTATTATTATTATGAATGGATTCTCCCATTTCCCAGTCCTCTTCAAGGCCTGATGTGGATTGAGAGCCTGACCAGTTGCTTATTGACCCATGATGGCGATACAATGACCCCGCTGCCCCCAGCCTGACCCTGGGACCCCCAAGGACCCAGCCCAGCAGCCCAGGGCTCAGATATGCAAAGTCGGAGCTTTATGAGCTTTGGGGAGGGGAAAGGGGGAGGTTGCAAAGTGGGCGAGGGTTTCATTAACAGAAATGTGTTTATGGTAAATAAAAAAGGCAAAGGGGCTGTTTCAAGGAGCGCGTCCTAAAGGGATGCAGCTCCCTCTGGATGGGGAGCGTTGGAAGCCTTTTTATCCCAGCACACGCCTAATTGGTGGCAATAAAAGCCGAGTTTCCTCGCTGCCTGGGTGATATTCCCCAAGTGTTGCTCCGCTTGGAAAAGTTGCTGGATTTGTTCCAGTTTGAAGCAGCAACCTCCTTTGAGGGAGGAAAACAGGGATCAGGAGCTTGGAGCATCCGCCTGTGTGGCATGGGAAGCATCCCCCCTTCTTGTGCTTCTCCTGCTATGAGAAGAAGAGAGGCCTTGGTGAATGTCACCAGCAGGGATGAGTGAAACGGAGAAGGTTAGAGTGGATGTCGACGTTAATATCCACCCATTGCCTTTCTACCCACTGAGTGGGGAAATGAAGGGGAAAAACATCTCCTCCCAGCCCCAAAACGTGGTTCCGCCACTCTGTTACTCTACAGGGCTTGCAAATAACCCTTTGTGAGGGGTGAGAGGTAGTATGTGGCCCCCAAAGTGTGTGTTTTGTGAAGCAGCCCTTCATTGCAGAGGGCAAGGGGATCCGTTCCCCACCCTCCCTCCCTCCCTCGTTTAATGGAGATACAGTTGTTTAAATGATTTCCCTCTTCCCAAAACAAATGCAGGAGAAAGAGAGCTCATTTTTTATCCTAATTGATGGATCGTTGAAGACAACCCTTTGAAGACATGGGCTGTCAGCAGTGGGAGATACCCAGAGCATCTGGGTTAGATAGGTATAAAGCAAAGAGCAACCTGCATTCTTTGCGAGGCTGGATGCTCTCAGCTTAGGAACCACGGCGCTTGCTTTTGATTTCACCATGAAAACCAGCAGCAGCAGCAGCAGCAGCAGCTTGTTCTGACACTCTCCAAACATCTGGATTGTAAAGTTTGCTGCTTTTCTGGCAACAGCAACAGTGATAATAAAACCTCCCCCCGTATGGGCAGATCCCCAGGGCTTCACCAGGGTTTCAGCTCGACCCAGCCAAGGTGGTTGCTCTGCTGCACACCAGAAAACATGCATTTGTCTGCACATCCCAAACACCTCCCCGTGGTGCGCGGAGGGGAGAACGCGCCAGAGCTCAGCACATCCAAAGGGAAAAGGCTCCCGCAACTTCTGATCGCGGGGTCTGTGCACCTCAAGGCAAGAAAGAGCAGAGCTGGGGGGGGTCCACGCTGTGTGTGCGCTTCCATAGCCTCAGTTTTGAGTGGAATCTTGGGTTGGGAGAGAGGTTTACGCCAAACCTGGGGTGGAAGATGCAGCCGTGTCAAATGCTCCAGGGCACAAGGAGTCCAGGAATGGAGTGGCTGCATGGCCTGGAGGACTGAGGAATGGTCTGTGCACATACGGACACATGGACACATGGGCACACAGACCATGGACATGGATGCGCAGATACACGGACATGGAGATACACAGACACATGGGCGTATAGACCATGTATATATGGACACATAGACACACAGACACATGAACACAGATTCACAGACACATGGACATATGGACACACAGACACATGGACGTATGGACAGAAGTGTGGGCTCTCCCTACTCAGCACAACCAGGCAGGAGCTGCTGAACCTGCTCCTGAGATGGGTTAAAACCCCTGGGATTTGTGATGGAGAAGTTCTGGAAGGGCTGAGAACTGTTCCCAGTTCCTCCTGCGGTCACCCTGGGTGCAGGGCAGGAGGTGACATCTGTTTGTCTATATTTGATTTATTGCTTTTGAACACGGTGGTATCTTCAGCGTCTCCATTTCAGGGGTGTTGGGAACGTAAGGGACACGGTAAATACAAGATTTGCTCCAAAATGGACATTTCAGCTCCACTTTGGAGTAAGCTCCTGCAGAAACACCCTACTCAGTCACCTTTGCGGTGTGTGAGGGGGTTTCATCCCCAAAGGGATGTAAGACAACAGGATGCCTTTGGGAAGGGCAACACAGGCAGCGGAACGGGAGAGGACACCGAGTACCGGGGGCAACACAGGCACCAGGCAAGGGGACGGGACACGGGGAGGACACCGGGAGCCCGAGGCAAGCGGCGCCCCAGGATCCGTCCCTGTCTCCCTGTTCCGCCGCCTCCTTTCACTGACCGTTCCCTTTGGTGTTTGTCAGAGGGGACCCACAAAAACCACCTGAACACCCCCGGAGCCTGCTTTAAACACAGTGTCGGGAGGGTGCGGGTCCTGTCCCGCCCTCTGCTTGCTGCTGGGATGGGGAGAGGGAAACCGGGGTGGAGCAGGGAGAAGCGGGAGCTGGATTCGGCAGAGAGGGGGACTCAAGCAGAGGACGGATGAGGCGGATGGATGGAGAGATGGATGGAGGGATGGATGGAGGGATGGATGGATGGAGGGACGGATGGAGGGATGGATGGAGGGATGGATGAAGGGGCGGATGGAGGGATGTATGGAGGGATGGAGGGATGGATGGAGGGATGGATGGAGGGACGGATGGAGGGATGGATGGAGGAATGGATGGATGCAAGCAAAGTTCCGTCTCTTGCGGTCATTCCCGTTCCTGAAAGGTTTCACTCCCTCTAAAAGCCATCTCTTTCCCCCGCCGTGACACCCCCCCCCCCCCACTCCCTCGCCCCCTCCGTTCCGAGCTCGCCCGGGGCCAGCCCCTGTCCCTGCCCGCTGCCCGGAGGGGAAAGGCGCGGTGCTGGCGCCCTCCGGAGGTCTCCCCCGCCCTCCCGGCCGCTGGGCACGCGTTTGGGGATAAAAAGGGCATTTTTAGGCTTTGCCCAGCAGAGGTCCCCGGCTGCCTTCCCACGAGCAGCCGGGTGGCTTCCCCCCCCCCCCCCCCCCCAGCCGGTGCCGCAAAGCCCTGACCCCCCCAAGGGAACTGCTCGGTCCCCCCGAGACCCTGGGGACCCTGTGGGGCTGGTACATCCCACCCCCCCCCCCAGCCCCAGCGGTCCTTCCCCTCCATGGGCTTCAGCGGAACAAATGGGAACTCCTGGAATGGGAGGGAGTGAAAGCGCGGGGGGGGAAATCCCACTTTCCCGGCACATTCCAGGCAGAGATGGGCTCCTGCCTCCTGCGCGGCAGGGCACACGGGGCACAGAGCAACAGGGAACTGACTCAAGAGGGCAGGGAAATCCCGGGACCTAGAAATGACACCCACGGCGTTGGGAAGATGCGGTGAAAGCCAGGCAGGAGAAAACGCGCACATCCCAACACCACAGTTCCCTGCAGCAAGTGGCCTGTAGGGAAAAGCACCGCTGAAACCTGCCGCATCAGAGCGAGCGCTCAGAGAATCTTCCTTCATCAGGGACTGCAGCGATAGGACAAGGGGTGATGGGTTCAAACTGAAACAGGGGAAGTTCAGCTTAGCTATAAGGAAGAAGCTCTTCCCTGTGAGGGCGCTGAGGCGCTGGCACAGGGTGCCCAGAGAAGCTGTGGCTGCCCCATCCCTGGCAGGGTTCAAGGCACAGGGGCTTGGAGCAAGCTGCTCTATGGAAGGGGTCCCTGCCTGTGGCAGGGCTTGGAGCTGGATGATCTTAGGGTCCTTTCCAACCCAACCCATCCTATGAAGCTCTGATTCCGCCTCCCCGAGTGGAGCAGTTCTGCAAAGTGAGTCTCATTTTCAATTTCGGGTTTTCTCACTATTTTTGTAACCCCGCTGTCAGCGAGCCAAGGCAGAGCGACAGAAAGAGAACAGAGTGGGTTTGCCTATATTAGGAAATCCCTCTAAATATACCACCGTGTTTGCGCAAGCCTCTCATGTAGCCCCACGGCTGCTTCACACTGTGTTTACGGCAGGTTATTTTCACGGAGCAAGCAACCAGGTTGAAAACTTAATGGAAGTCTTCATCAGAGCTGGATTTAGCGCGCTTGGGTTTGGCATCTGTGAAGTTCCTCAGCGTTGTCCGCTCAGCACCACGCCTTCCATCCATGACTTGTTCCAAGCGCCCTCAGTGCACCTGATGCACTGATTTTTGGTGATTTTAGGAATTAATTCCCATTCCTGGGACTCTCGTGTTAAGGGGAAAATATGTGAGCATCAAGAGAGACTGACAGGAGTACGGCTAAAGTGATTTAGTCTAAATATTATAGAATCCCAGCCTGGGTTGGGTTGGAAAGGACCTTAAAGCTCCTCCAGCTCCAAGCCCTGCCACAGGCAGGGACCACTTCCATAGAGCAGCTTGCTCCAAGCCCCTGTGTCCAACCTGGCCTTGAACACTGCCAGGGATGGGGCAGCCACGGCTTCTCTGGGCACCCTGTGCCAGCGCCTCAGCACCCTCCCAGGGAAGAGCTTCTGCCTACGAGCTCATCTCAGTCTCCCCCTCTGGATGTAAGCTTTGAGGGTGTCAGAATTTGCCCATCTTTCATTTCACAAAGGACAAGCTGTGACTCACCAGTGACTAAGTAACAGGTTAAGCCTCAGAGTTTCTGATGAGTAATGGGGTGAGCAAGAGCTAACCCATTCTGTAAGTCACTAAAGGAGGCACATGATTACAAGGATCCCAAGGCAGATTGGCAGAGGCCATGGCAAAGCACCAAAATTAGCAGCAAAGGAAACAGTTGCTTCCTCTGACAAATAGTCAGGACATTTATAGTAAAGAGGCATCTCAGACCGGTCCATGCAAACCTCCCAGAGCAGTGATGAAGGGCTAAAGGTTTGATCATGGGATTTTTCTGTCCTTGCAGCTTGTACTGGTTGGTAACTGTGTAAAGTGCTGCCTCAACCCCCACAGCAGGCACCCCTGGCCCCAGGTGCCCTGGCCCTGGGGGACTTCAGGGGGGCTCAAAGGGGTTTGAGTATGGAGAGGTGATAGAATCACAGAATGGTTTGTGTTGGAAGGGACGTTTAAAAGCCATCTGGTCCAAAAGGCATCACTTCACTGCAGTGAGCAGGGATATCTCCACTACACCAGGTGAATAAAGGGATGGAGGGCTGCAGAGGGGAGTTCAGGGAGGTAGGGATGGAGGGGTGCAGGAAGGGATGCAGGAAGGGATGCAGGAATGGATGCAGGGCCAGATGAAGGGATGCAGGGATGGATGCAGGAACAGATGCAGGAAGGGATGCAGGGCCAGATGAAGGGATGCAGGGATGGATGCAGGAAGGGATGCAGGAAGGGATGCAGGGCCAGATGAAGGGATGCAGGGATGGATGCAGGAAGGGATGCAGGGATGGATGAAGGGACAGAGGCAGGGAGGGATACAGGGACAGAGGCAGGGAGGGATGCAGGGAGGGATGCAGGGACAGATGAAAGGATGGATGCAGGAAGGGATGCAGGGATGGATGCAGGGATGAATGCAGGGCCAGAGGCAGGGAGGGCTGCAGGGAGGGCTGCAGGGCCAGAGGCAGGGAGGGATGCAGGGAGGGATGCAGGGCTAGAGGCAGGGAGGGATGCAGGGAGGGATGCAGGGAGGGATGCAGGGAAGGATGCAGGGCTAGAGGCAGGGAGGGATGCAGGGCCAGATGCAGGGACGGCTGCAGGGCCAGAGGCAGGGAGGGATGCAGGGAGGGATGCAGGGCTAGAGGCAGGGAGGGATGCAGGGAGGGATGCAGGGAGGGATGCAGGGAAGGATGCAGGGCTAGAGGCAGGGAGGGATGCAGGGCCAGATGCAGGGACGGCTGCAGGGCCAGAGGCAGGGAGGGATGCAGGGAGGGATGCAGGGCCAGATGCAGGGAGAGCTGCAGGGCCAGACGTGCTCCGGGGCACTTCACGGCCTCCTCCGCCTGCAGGTGTGGGGGCACCGGGCCTCCTGCGCTCCGGCCCACCCGGTCCCGGGCCGGGGCCGCTCTCGCCCGCCGCAGCCCCCGCTTTCCTGCCCGGCCCCGGCGCTGCGCGGCGGCAGGATGTCGGTGCCTGAACCTCAGAGCGCTGCAGCTCGCAACCAGAAAAGCCACCGATCGTTTCCTGTCAATATTGACGGGGCTCTCTCAACCCCGCAGCCCCGCGGGGGTCCGGGCAGCCCCATGGCACCCGGGGCTGGGGGTAAAGCTGGTTTTGTAGAGATCTTGGGGAATGGAAGGGTTTTGGGTCCCCTTCTGCAGCGCTGGGCGCTGTGCAGGGAAAGGGGCAACAGCAGCAGAGCTTGTGCGGCTCCATTCCTGCAGAGCTCTGCGATGGATTCTCTTGCACACGGGAAACCAGCTCGAGAAGTCATTATTATATATGTATATACCAAAGTGTATCTATAAGTGATTTGGGAGGAAGGGAGGAGAAAGCCTGGCTTTGAATGGGTTTAAGCCCTAACTGCTGCTGGTGTAGAGGGTTCTTGGCCTATCCTCACCTCGCTGTGCTGTGGGGCCCCACTCAGGACATTTCCAGCCCTGGAGAACAGCTTCAGCCTGGAGCTGTGACTTGGTTCAGTGCAGTCACTGCACGGCTGTTACCTTCAGGCTTTTACCTCAGGTTTCCTGTCTTAAAGGCAGTTTCCGATAGCACAGCCAAGAACAGAACATACAACTGCAAGTTAAGCTGCTGCAATGCTCTAAGCTGATACAAGGACGTCAGAACCAAGTGCTTAATTAAGCTGGATTGTAAACCAGTTAAATGAGAGCAACCGGTGAGTAAAGGCAAAGCTTCAGTTGCTGCCAAGTATCTTTTAAAGATGCTAAAAAGGCAGGAATGTGAGGGAAAAGTCCCAAGGCACAAAGGGACCCAGGCGCCAAACTCCCATTGAACACAACCTGCTTGTGATTATCAATCTCCCCCTTCCACACCAGGACCTCAGACCTGAATCCACGACGTACCGGATGCTCTGCTGCATCAGAGCCCCCCGCCCACGAGGGCTTAAATGCTCCCACAAGCCTCGGTCCTGCTCCGTGCCCATCAGCAGAGGCTTGGGCTCACCAAGAGATGGGAGCAGCTGCAAAGCTTGTTTAGGTTTAAAGCCAGGGTGTCTGCTTAGGTTCCGAAGAAGGAACTTGAAATCCTGAGTACAGGCTCCTTCAATATACTCTTGGTTTCCGGACATAGACCACATCATTTACTACTCTGGTAACTGTTGTGCACTTTCACCACCCAATGTAAATAATAATAATACAAAAAATAATGTGGCATTAATAAGGCCTCTTTTCTTCCTCCCCATAGGGAATTAGCCTAATTGGTCTCTTGAAGTTCCTTCCAAAGCGATGTTTATGTGGTTTTAGGACTATCCCACTACATTTGTTAAACCGGACTTGTTTTAGGGATGCTCCTCAGCTCCATGGTCTGCAGCACACTCACTCTTCCACAGGAAGAAGTGGATAAACAGCGAAACCACTTCAAATACAGGACCCACAGGAATCCCCGTTACCCCAGCAGGAGGGGACGGGGAGGTAAGCAGGCTGGAAAGCTGTCATCAAGATGGGAACGTCACAAAAGCCAGGGAGTCTCAGCTTACGGAGGGAAAAGAGAGCAGTTCCAGCAACCCCTTCAAAGTATTCCCATTCCTAAAAGATGAATTTAGTACCAAGAACAAATTGGTCATCTTCCTGTACAATGACCAAGCCCACAAAGCCACCCATGTGCTGGGCTGCATCCCCAGAGAGTGAGCAGCAGGTCAAGGGATGGATTCTTCCCCTCTGCTGTGCTCTGGGGAGCCACCTCTGCACTCCTGATCCAGCCCTGGGGCAGCAGCACAAGAGGGATGTGGAGGGGATGGATGAGGGCAGAGGAGGCCATGGGGATGCTGCGAGGGCTGGAGCAGCTCTGCTCTGGAGCCAGGCTGAGAGAGCTGGGCTGGGGCAGCCTGGAGAAGAGAAGGCTCCTGAAGGGGAGACCTGAGAGCAGCTCCAGTGCCTGAAGGGGCTGCAGGAAACCTGGAGGGGCTTCGGACAAGGGCCTGTAGGGACAGGCCAAGGGGAATGGCTTGAACCTGCCAGAGGGGAGACTGAGATGAGCTCTTAGGCAGAAGCTCTTCCCTGGGAGGGTGCTGAGGCGCTGGCACAGGGTGCCCAGAGAAGCTGTGGCTGCCCCATCCCTGGCAGTGTTCAAGGCCAGGTTGGACACAGGGCTTGGAGCAAGCTGCTCTATGGAAGGGGTCCCTGCCCGTGGCAGGGGTTGGAGCTGGAGGAGCTTTAAGGTCCTTTCCAACCGAACCCAGGCTGGGATTCTATAATTAATCAATTGGACTGTTTTGGATGCTGCAAACCCATGAAGACAAATACAATCCACTGCCTCGTTTGATTTAAGCCGCTAGAGTTAAAATACAAAGACAGGCGTAGGAAGATATTTCAATCTCTGCTTTTTTTTCCCTTAGAAGTCATTAATGGCACTATTTCCTTCCAAAAGTTGTTACTGACATCACTGTTTCC